TGTATTTTTAAAAAAGTGTAATAAAATTACAAAAACTATATTTACAATAAAATATAAATGCATTTTGTCTTATAAGTTTTGCAATTTAGTTTATTTTATGTCAGAGATAGCCCAGTCATATAATAAATTATATTTGTTAATTTATTAACTACCCATTGTCTATTTTGTAAAAGTTTAAAAATATGTCTATTTAGACATAAAATTATAGTTTCTCCTATGTCATAATTCACGAATACAAAATAATAAGAGTTGGCTTGAGAATTTATAGTTATGTTAAACACTAAAAGTGACATAATCTAATTAACTCAACATTTATCTTAATTTGGCCACGACCTAATCATTAGAGAATTGTCTTAGTTTATGCCTAAGTATGAACCACTTAACTCATTTATTTATTAAATTGGTGAATAAATATACGTTAGTATTTTTTTATAAGAAAATAAGAAATATATACATGTTTATGCATAGTTATTCAAACTTTGATAAAATTTTATATTTATATTTAAAATTATTACATGAATAGTTAAATATATTTATGTATGAAAAAACTATTCAAGGTCAACCCAAAAATATGGACATTGTTCTAACTATATTTTGGACTTGATTTAAAATTTTGATATGTCAATTAATAGAAATAGTTGGTAATAATCAATTTAGATTTTATGTTTAAATTATATTATAATTTCTCATATTTTGAATAGTATGAACTAATTTTATAGATACTCCGGTTTTGACCCGACATTTTATTATGTTTCCGACTCCGGTTTCATGGTTCAATGTTGATGTCCATCTCTTATTACCCTTGTTTTTCCTTGGATTAGTCATTTGGATTGTAGTTGTGTGTTTAGAATATGTTGGTTGCTTGATTTTCCAAACTTATGTTGCCCAGATTTTTACTTCTCCGCTCGAGCGGCTATTCCCAAGCTCGAGCGGGATTTGCAAACTCCCAGCATTTTTTTTTGTAGACATGCAAATGCTGGAAAAGTGTATTCGATGCTCAATCGTCACTTCTTACGCTCGAGCGGAACATTGTGTCTGACGCTCGAGCGTCACTTTCCACGCTCGAGCAACAGTGCATGAAGATGACATTTTTCATCACTTTTTCATTCCTCTCTCTCTCTCTAAAACTCTAAAAAACCCTAGATCTTGAGTTTCTCTCTCTAAAACTCATATTCTCTCTACTATTTCACCTAGATCCATTGGGTTCTTCACCCTACCTTTGAAAAAAAGGTAGAGCACGTCGTGGGCTCTCTTTTCATCCGAACGAAAGTGGGTTTCGGGGTCTTTGGAGTTTCAACCTTGCTTTGCTCGTCTTCTTTTCTTTGAGGTAGGGATTTTTTACACTTTCATATGGTCTTTAGCTTAGTTATTTATCGTTGTATAACAATAGTGGGATTTGGGAGTAGTTTGAATAAACTTCGGAATTGGGTGTGAAGTAAAAAGAGGAGTTTTTGATGAATGGAAAATAAATGGTTATGGAGTTTGTAAATAAGGTTGTTTTGTGTCAAATTTGTTGATTTTGATACTTGGGTTGATATTTGGAAAAAGTGGAAGATTTTTCCCTAAAAGCGGTCAAGTTGTTATTTTGTATTATTAACAAAAATGGACATTGGTAATGTGAAATTGGAGAATTGTTGATATAAAGGGTGGAGTTGGACACGTGTTGTCTCTCACCTATGGAAACTTGATTAATTTATCTATTGAGAAGATTATATATTTGTTTAGAAAATATCTGTGTTTGGCTATCGGTGGAGGATAGCAATGATTGTTGTAGAAATTGCGTGAGGATTAGGAAAATTGGAACTAATCTGTTGTTGATTGTCATTGAATATGACTATGTTTAAATACATTGTATATGCATAATGTTTGGGAGGAGAAATGAGATGTACTCTATTGTTTGGGAGAAGATAGGGGATGGACTCCATTGAAATTAAGTTGGCCGGAGTGTCTAGGGTGAAAGTCCCGAAATCTTGTGTATACATAGGTACCGATCCCGCGGACAAAATTTTCGTAAAATAGCAGATTGAAGAGTTTGTGTGGTATTGTATTGACTTGGAAAACCACTGAGTTGTACTCTCAGTTGAGTAGTTGAAAAATAATGAAATTGGTTCATGAATTGAAAAGGGTAAAATTAATTTGAAGTGAATTGAAGGAAAATGAATTGAAATACGAACTTTGGTACTTTATGATCTTATAAAAATGTGAATGTTTTGTCACAAGTATTGTGTATGCACATTGTACTTATATCTCTGCTAAATCTCATGTATTGTGTTAGATTATTTCTACTAGGTTTTGGCTCACCCTATCTGGGAAAAACCTTTTTCAGGTGCTGATGATATACATGTGCCAAGGTAATAGTTTGGAGGGACTTTTGGGAAGCAAGAACTTTTTTATTTTGTTTTTATATTTTATTTTTTATTCTTTTGTATAGCCAAGGGCTTTAATTGTATTAAGCCAAGCTCACTTTTTTGTAACCAAGTAATGACTTGGAAAGATGTAAGCCTATAGGGCATCTGACTATATGTTTAGTTTCTTTTCCCTCAATATTGTAACACATGCTATAGATTCAGGATGAACATTGTTGAATGTATATTGCATGTGTTAACCTTTGTAAACGAACTTTGAACGTTGATAAATGAATGTATTTTATTTCTATTATTCTTCCGCTTTTGAGTTGTATCTATTGCGTAATTTTGGGGGCGTTACAAATTTGAGGAATAGTACTTGCATTAAAAATAGTTTAGAAGTTAGATTAAGATTAATTTTTATGCCAACAATTAAATTGTAGGAGAATTATCTTCATTTATACCCAATTCATGATCACTTAACCCATTTATTTTTTGTTTTTAAAATTGGTAAATATATTATGATTATTTTTGATAGCCAAAATAATAAAATGTATGTATATTTTTGGCATATTTATTTATTTATTTATTTTAAAAAAATTACATATTTATATTAAAAATTCTTACACAAATAATTAAGTATATTTATGTATGAAAAAATTGTATAATACTGGGTCGATCTAAAATATGTAGCTTGTTTTAGTCCTACATTGGGCACGATTTAAAAATTGATTGGTCCATTAGTGAAAACAGTTAATAATAATCAATTTAAGCCTGTGTTTAATGATTTGTTAAGTTATGATGGATATGAATTAATATTGGATCAAATACTAAAAGTAGTGTAGAAATGGAATTTTGTTGATTTGTATGCTATATATCAAACTAATTTTTAGATAATCGTTTTGGTTCATGTCGAGCCATTACATTGCCCACTTATTTATTTTTTAAAATGGTAAAAATATTGCAAAATTTTTTATAACTAAAATAAAAAATATGAATATATATATTTGGCATATTTATTAATATTCTAAAACTTCAATTAAGAAATTACATAATTATTCTTAAAATATATCTAATATTAAATTATATTTACATCTGAAAGAATTATTTAAGATTAGATTAAGCTAGTTTATAGATTCTATTTTTAGCATAGAACTTGATCAAAGAAGTGAAATTTAAAAACAAATCATAATTTTTAATTTAAATTTTATTACATTTTTATTTAATACAAAATTTCAAGTAAAATGTTTTAATATTTTAAAAATAAATTTCAAGTAAAATGTTTTAATATTTTAAAAGTAATTAATTATTTGTGAAATGAAGTTACCATTATAAAAAACTCTAAAAAAATTAGCTTTTAGTAGTGTGAAAATCTATTAACTAAATAATTAAATTGATGAGATATAGATTTTTTTTTTTTTTTGAAAACAAAATCAGTGAATGAGGCTAATATATAGAAAGGGTGCTTATAATCAATCATACATAATTTCTTTCCCACTCATCACATGTATTAATTTTTTTTTTTAATTTAGGCATAAATATTAGTACATATGAGTGTACAAAACAAATCAAAAAAGAAAAAAAAAAGTGTACAAAAATAATTAAATGTGTGTAATTAAATCAAAATATTTTAAAAATTCCTAATTTTTGTCATGAATTTAAATGATTTGAGAGTAATTATATATGATATGAATAATATAGTAATATGAAGTTTAATTTCTTTTTTTTTTAAAGAATAAAAATCTGTTGAAGAGGATTAAGTTGGAAAGATATGGAATATTTTTTTATCTTTCTCTTTGAAAATTATAAATTATGGAATTATTAATATTTTGAAAAATACTACTTTAATGGATTAGTCAATACTATTTTTTAAATTTATTTTTTAATTCAATAAATCCACAATTTATTATGAAGTTTTGAAACTCTCACAATGTTTCTCACTAAAACCCCATTTTATTTTTATATTATATAGATAGATAGATAAATGACAAAGAAATAATCTATATATAGAACATCTATACTATTATATTAAATGAGGCCTAAATTTAGGGGATGTTTGGGGTGTCCTAAATAAGTGCATTTTTTTTATTTTTTTAGACTAAAAAATTAAGGAAGAAAATATAGATGTTTTGGTTAATTTTTTGACTTTTTATAGAAAAATGTGTAATAAAAAATTGTAAAAATTGATTTGTAGGAAAAAATTAAGATTAGGAGTTGTGCCGCCGTAATTGTTGATTTTTGATGAATAGTGTTAACTTTTTAACTTTTTAATTTTTTAACTTTTTTATAATATACCAAACTTAATCTTAGTATAGAATGACATATAAATCTTCTCAAAAGAAGTGAGACTCACATGTGTGAAATTTGTACATATAAGACTCACCTCTTGTGAGAGAGTTTTATCTCATTTTTATATATTTCTAGTATTATTGATTTGATATAAATGTTTTTAGGTTGATTTTAATTATTTGAACAATTTCAAATTTTAAAAATCAAATTTGTAATTTATTTTTAAATTTGAAAAATAATATATTGCACCTGCTAGTGAAATTTGTCAAATAGGAAAGAGTTGCAAATAAGGTACACGTGTCGAAGCATGACCTAAGCAGCATCTAAAAACAATGCAACTACAGGTGGCCCATTTCGCTAAGCACCCCTATCTCAAGCCGGAACTGATGTTTTTTGGATTCAAACAAAGCTTTTCACTCAACTAGTCGAAGGAAGAAATTAGGGTTTTCGAAATGGCAATGGCTGGGCGTCTGAGATCAACCCTCCCTCTCTTCCAGAAGATTCTCAGATCCAAATCTTTCTCCTCCACTCAGAGATCCACCATTCAACGATCAGTGCTTTGCCCTACCTTCACAAATCCGGAGGTATACCCAACCATTCAAACTTGAAATTAGTTGATTTCCCTTTTGTTTTCTGATTCTGATTTGTATATGGAACTCTATTATTGTTTTCTTCTTCTTTGTTGGGGCCGAAATCAACTAGGTTTACCTGGAATGGGTTCTGTTTGGTCGATTGGAAAATAGTGGAAAATGTGGTGATAGGTTTGATTCAGAAGTCTACCGCAGATTCCAATCAACTTAGCCGAAATCAGGCAAATTAGATGACAACTTTAGACGTAAATCGATATGTTTTCATGATTGTATTCTCAACAGAAGAATCGAGGTTTAAGGATTTAGCAAGCATAGCAGATGTTTATTGGCAAATGTTGGAAAATGATGGGACATGATGAAAATTTGATGTAGACTATAAATGGTCTGTTTGGTGGTAACCTAGCCAAAGAAATGTGCTATAGTTTTTCCACTAGGCATCTCGGGGGGAAAAAAAAACAAGAACTGAGGGTTGAAATTCTAGTAAATACAAGATAACGTTTTTTTTCCATAACTCTGTTTGCTTCATTTTTTTCAGTATTGTTCAGTTTTTGACGATTTGAATTTCTCTTGTTTTTTAAATATTTTCTCTTGTATTTCTTGATTTTTCTTCCTGTTTGTTGTTAAGCAAGTGGATAAAATGAGTAAAATGTCTTAGGCATCTTATGTAAAGACACACACACACATATATATACAAGCAGTTGGCACATGCAATGCGTGTGTCATTATTACCCATGCCATGCCCCTAATTCTTCTCCCATCACCCATGCTACAAACAGAAAAGTGAGGAGCAGTTACCAGAGAGTTGGGATTGTTATGTAAGGGTAATTTAGGGAAGTAAAATATGTTTCATACTTTTGTCTACACCGATTGAGGTGTTCACATTATAATATAGAATATATATGTATATGTATTGTTTTTGTTTTGAAATTCCAAAAACCGAACTCAATATGATGAAAAATCTTAGTATGCTTATATGATTGCAAATTGTGTGTTCTGTCTCTGGACCATCAGCAGCAAGGCTACGTGATGTTTGAGAACTGCTTTATGCATATTGTCAATAAAAAGCAGAAATTCTCCTCTATGTTTGGAATATTTATTGACTGCAGTTTTTCTGGTGATGTTTCATATTAGTTTCTCTTGTTTGCTTTGCAGTTCTCAAAGAATTATGCTTCTCTATCTGCACCAAAGGAGCAGAAAGTTAAGGTAATTAGTATCTATGAAACATGTATGGGACTAATTAACCTAAAATAATGTGCTCCAGCTTTAAAGATTATATATAATATCTAGACCTTATTTGATGTGGTATTCTTGAGGAAATGATGGTGCAGTAGGAAGTCTTAAAATATATGTATATGTATATACATATTATACACTACATGTACATATACACTTGTGTACATATTTTCATTTCCATACTATAAAAAATTACTCTAGCCTTTGTAATGGAGCATTTCCTGTGGTCATTGGTAAATTCTTTGCAAGCAGCATGGACACTGAAGCATGACATGACAATTCCCAATATGTGGTGATACGAGCAACATTTGGAGTTTTATTATCTGTCGTACACATGAATATTTCATTCAAAGATAAAAAAAAATGCATTATAACACTAATTTCTAAAGTTTAAACAAAAATGGGATTAATATGCATAAATATACATTATTTTTCCTTTACCATTTCATCCCAAGTTATGTTGTTTAAATTTGAAGTGCGTTTCATGTGTATCTAAGCAATGTCTGGGTCTATTTTTTATTTTTTTAAATAATAGGAGTCAGTTGGACATGTGTTTGACATGTATTGGGAACCGTTCGATGATCGTCGGTGTGTGATGTGGACATGCCACCACCTTATAATTGTCCTTGCTTATGAGGTTGTAGGCATTTAATTGTCACACTGATTGTGGATTTAGGCATAGATTTTTATTTTTTTGTGTCTAACTCCGGTGGCCGCCAACTCTCCCCGTTCCATTAGTTTCTTGAAAAACTTACTTTTTAGGAGTAAAAGAGGGAATAAAGAAACTTGTTTTGCTCTCCACGGTAAGCTGTTCAGCTTGTAGATAACACTAGAGAACAGGTTATGAATTTTCCTAGTTTTTGATGTAGATTATTGGTTATATTATTACTCTTTCTCTTTATTTTTATTTTTTTCCCGGGACTTATTTGAGTATCTCCTTGTGTTAATCTTTCTTTGTTGTTTCTCTGTAATTTTCAGGTGCCTCTGACTATGTTTGGGGTCTCTGGAAACTATGCCTCTGCTTTGTACCTTGCAGCAGTAAAAGCAAATGCATTGGACAAGGTTGAATCTGAGCTTCTTGATCTTGTTGAAGCTTCAAAGAAAAGTCCTACATTTTCTCAGTTCATGAAAGATTTGTCAGTTCGTGCGGATATTAGAGTAAAGGCTATACAGGAAATTTGTGCTGAAGCTAAATTTTCAGATCTTACAAAGAACTTTATGGGTATGACACTGCTTATTACTTAAATTGCTTGTACAGTAATTAAAATATTGTTACTCAACTTGAAAAAAATTCCTGTTTTTAATTTAAACATCTCGATCTATTTAAAAAGTTTTAAAAAAAAACATATTCAAACTTATGAAAAAGAATAGATAACTATTTCCAAAGAAGCATGAATAGAGATATGGGACACAAATAAGTGTATGAGCGTTCTGTGGTTTGTTGTCTGTCCCTAGGTTATTTTTATTTTATCTTTGTATCACAAGTTATTTTTTCGCACTTGTGATGTATTTTCATGTGTGTCTTAGCAATGACACTTGTGTCTCTCAAGTGTCCGAAGTTTTTTATCTATACTATTATTAAAAGTGAACACCTCACCTGGTGTCCATTAATGGCCTTCACTCCTTTTGCTTATGTTCTAAAAATATTAAAACTTAATATGACACATTTGGACGCATGTTCAACACGTGTTAGAGAGTGTCCGGTGAGTGTTGGTGTCTAATGTGTTTGACACGGACATGGCACCTTATTAGAAGTGTTCTTCCTTCTAAGGTTGTTTCTAGATGATGTCAGTATAGTAATTCAAGTCACACTGCTGGAGGTGTGTATAGACGGTATTTCCTGAATATTTCAATGCTGACAACATGAATTTCGCATAAGAGGTTGCTACTAGTGGTATTTTTGGATCTATACTTCTGTGCCCTACTATCCCTAGTTTTCTAGATTTTGATATCACTAAGAAATTGCATGTACATTTTACTCCTTGAAGGAGGTTCAACTCTTGAGGGTAATCCTGTTAATGAACATAATAAATGCCTAAATTTACCAATCATATTTTTTTCCAAAGATGAAACTTAAAAATTGTCAGAAAGAAAACTTTACAAGAGTAATTTTTTAGTAGGAAAATTATAAGAAAACAATATCTTTACAACCTTGTAGCAGTAGCATGTTTGTTTATTTTTTTAGGAGATGTTTCTTGACTTAAACTAGAATTTATCGGGGATTGGAGGGTTTTCAATGACTAGTGGCATTTTGTTGGTTTCTCATGATTACTCACTCTCACAGTAACCTGAAATGGTAATATATCTCATTATCTCATACAGGTAATAATTACTAGACATTCTAGTCTGTCTTTCATCATTGGTGATTTCACAAGTGTGTAATACCTCAAAGGGAACCATCTTCTGGAAGAAATTTATCAGCTTCCTTGTGTTTGTATATAGTTGAACTGGAATAAAAATCTGCTAATTTTACTTGTTATAACTTAGAACATATTGGGGCTAATTACCATGTAAAGATATGGGAATGTAGACATTGATTACATGTTGAGGTACTTGGTTCACTACTTGGGCTTCATATTACTATAGTAATTATTCATTTCAGTGTCTGAATTCTTGTATTCATGTGCTTGGAGTTCCTTCCTAGTAGTTTATGTTAACCTCTTGTAACTATCTTTTTATCTTGTTTGGTACTAGCTGTTTTGGCTGAGAACGGGAGGCTGAGGCACTTAGAAGCTATTGCAAAGAGATTTATAGAATTGACTATGGCACAAAGGGGAGAAGTGAAAGCCATTGTGACAACTGTTATCGTAAGCTCTACTCCTGAAAATGCAAATTATTGATTCATAATACCATATGCCACATGGCATACTTTAAAACATCGAATAATAAAACTGTCCTCTCTACCCTTTGCCTTCTCTCTACTCACTCCCCATATTTTTGAATCATTATTGGGTATGTGTGATCTTATTTAGTTGCAGTGGACTAGGGTGACTGCAGTTGGATTTTGTGTTCTGCTTTTTTTTGGCCCATAATTGCTTGGAAGGCTAGGTTGGCTTCTTAGCTTGAAGTTATTTGCACCTGTTTTCCTGTTGCATGTTATGAATTAACCCTGGAGTAGGGAAGACAGTTCATATTACTAGGGTTGGCATGTCATTTCTCTGGCTATGGGGGGGATTTAGTTATGATTTAATGCTGAAGTATGATGATGATAGAAAGAAAAAATGAACTAGTTTTTTAGCTAATACATATTTGAGTTGCCAGCATATGGTGTCCTCATTTTATCTAGGTCAGATTCAAAAATAAATACGGATTCATATTGAGGATAGCACTTTCATTCGGCAAAAGAACCTGTCTTATTATGTCATATTTGGAAGGTTTTATTTTGGTAGATATACATTGTTTTAATACTATAAACTAAGAAACACAGACATGGACATGTGACACGACACGGACACGTAGATACATAAATTTTCAAAAAATGTAGGACACGACATAGCTTGAAGTTATTTGCACCTGTTTTCCTGTTGCATGTTATGAATTAACCCTGGAGTAGGGAAGGCAGTTTATATTACTAGGGTTGGCATGTCATTTCTCTGGCTATGGGGGGGGATTTAGTTATGATTTAGTTATGATTTAATGCTGAAGTATGATGATGATAGAAAGAAAAAATGAACTAGTTTTAGCTAATATATATTTGAGTTGCCAGCATATAGTGTCCTCATTTTATCTAGGTCAGATTCAAAAATAAATATGGATTCATATTGAGGATAGCACTTTCATTCGGCAAAAGAACCTGTCTTATTATGCCATATTTGGAAGGTTTTATTTTGGTAGATATACATTGTTTTAATACTATAAACTAAGAAACACAGACATGGACATGTGACACGACACGGACACGCAGATACATAAATTTTCAAAAAATGTAGGACACGACATGTTGGGGACATGTTCAAAACATATATTTGTATATTTTTATTATATGTATATTTTTAAATAGTTAATATGTATTTTATGTCAAATATTTAATTTTATCAAATTTATCAACCTTAGGTATGCTATTTTAGTAAAACAATTAAAAATTATAATTTGTTTTTAAAAAAAAATAGTACTTAGTGTGTTCCCAATGTGTCCTTTGTGTGTTCTCAGTGTGTCCCAAAGTGTCCCAGCGTGTCCAAAGTGTCCCAGCGTGTCCAACTCTTTCTAGCGTGTCCGACATGTGTCCGGAGCGTGCTCGTGTCCGACACGTGTCGGACACCTGTACGTGACCTTCAGAGAGGTGTCCGTACTTCATAGACTATAAAAAAATATCTTGTTAACATTTTATTTTGTTAAATAATGTTCGATAAGTAGGATGTACAAGTGTATAGCATATGCAATAAATTACTTGCTATGTGTAAGAACGCCTAGATCGTACATATTAGGACAACTTGATATATTTTTCATTTTATGTTTTAGAGGTTATTTGGATTAATAAAAAGACCTACTAGAGAAAGACATAGGAAACCCTTATTTAAGGGTTTGTAGTCAGTGCTAGTGCTATGACTAGCATAGTTTGGCAATTGCATGCCTTGTAATGTTTGCCTTAGGTAGAGCCCAAGTGACTACCACTTTGGATACACAAGTCTTGAAGCCTTAAAAGCATAGATGCTATGGGAGTTCTTCATTGGCTTAGAAGATGCTTTGGGACAATGATGTAACCTTGAAGAGATTAAAGAATGGACAAAAATGTTCATTTGGTCAAACAATATTGAGACTGGTCAATCAGGTGTCTTAGGTCAGTGGCAGCCAACCAAATAGGTTGGTTAACCAGGTTGGAACTAGATTCTTAGGCTTTCAGTTGAAGCCTAAGAATCATGGACATAGACATAAACATGACATAGGCACGCGAACATAGGAATCTAAAAGAAAAATGCAAAACATGACATGTTGGGGACACGTGCAAAACATATAATTTTATATATTTATTATGTTGTTTTTAAATATTTTATATTTATTTTATGTCAAATATTTTCATTAAATTTATCAATCTGAGTATTCTATTTTAGTTTAAAAAAAAAGGAATTTTTAATTTTTAATTTTTTAAAAATGGTCTTCAATGAGTCCTTAGCATGTTCTCAGCGTGTTTTCAGTGTTTCAATGTGCCCTTAGTGTCCTAGCGTGCCCGACTCTCTACAATGGGGTGTTTGGGAAGCCAAAAATTGGCTTTGTTTTGGCTAAATTCACAAAAAGATCCAATAGGCGAAAATAGCTAATAATACAATGTCACATCAAACCCATAATCATTTCACTTTTTCTGTCACAAACATCACATCCAGCTACAAAAAATTCAATCCTATTCCCAAACACAAATATTTTAGCCTACTAAAATTGCAAAAAATGAAAATAGCCTACTAAAACAGCCAATTTCCCAAACGAGGCCAGTGTGTCCGACGTGTTCGGAGTGTGTCCGATGTGTGTTCCTGTTCGACTGTGTTAAGACACTTGTGCGTGACCTCCAGAGAGGTTTGTGCTTTATAGGTTGAAACCCAAGTTACATTCAAGTAAAGGCATCAATTGATGAAATGCTTAAATGAATATCTAATAATTTCATCAAGACTTAATAAGTTGACTTAGGGTAAACAAGATTATACCAATCATAGGGAATCAACCCTAGTCAACCAGGACAGTCACTGGTCAAAACTGGGCTGTCAGCTAAATTGGTCAACCAGCACTTGAGCTGTCAACCAGAATCAAGGACAGACTGGGAGATTTGAAAGATTCTAATCTTGAACAAACTTTTAAATCTCTAATTGTCCTATATAGGAGCAAACTTTCAGTTAGTAGTTTACGAAGAAGCATGAATACCTTTAAAAATGAGTTGCATACATATTGATATTCCTTGGAAACTTGTGGATCTAAATGTACGTATCTGATACTTGATGTTAATTTTGGGGAATGTCAGACACTTTTTAGATACTCTAATTCACATATGCAAACTTACTATGAATTTGAGAGTGCAATAATTTTTGCATGGCATTAGAGTATAATTGTTAGAATAAATACAAGAAGCGTTTTTCAATATATATATATTTTTATTTCTTACCTAAGAAAAAAAATAGTGAGATTGAAGTAGTACCATACCTTTTTAGAGTTTATCTGTAAGATAAATTGATAGAGAGAGAGAAATTGATAGTATTATTGATTGATGTATTGATTGATTTATCTATTACAAATGGTGAGTGGCTCATTATATAGGAGAGGGTGAGTGTAGTAGGTGAGGAGTAGGTGGTGGTAGTAGGTGATGGTAAATTGGTGGTAGGTGATGGTAAATTTTAACAGCCCCCCGCAAACTCAAGGAGGATAGAAACTAACCAACTTGAGTTTGAAGAGAGGAACAAAACAAGAAAATACATAAAAAGGATAGGAGACACTGTATGGTCGTGTCAGACCATTGGTGAAGACACTGGATGGTGGTGTCATAACGTTGTAGAGGACACTGTATGGGGGTGTCATAACGTTGTAGAGGACACTGTATGGTGGTGTCATAACGGTGTAGAGGACACTGGATGGCGGTGTCAGACCGATGTAGAAGACAGTTTATGGGGTCATGTCGGACCGATGTAGAAGACAGTTTATGGGGTCATGTCGGACCGTTGTAGAAGACAGTTTATGGGGTCATGTCGGACCGTTGTAGAAGACAGTTTATGGGGTCATGTCGGACCGTTGTAGAAGACAGTTTATGGGGTCATGTCGGACCGTTGTAGAAGACAGTTTATGGGGTCATGTCGGACCGTTGTAGAAGACAGTTTATGGGGTCATGTCGGACCGTTGTAGAAGACAGTTTATGGGGTCATGTCGGACCGTTGTAGAAGACAGTTTATGGGGTCATGTCGGACCGTTGTAGAAGACAGTTTATGGGGTCATGTCGGACCGTTGTAGAAGACAGTTTATGGGGTCATGTCGGACCGTTGTAGAAGACAGTTTATGGGGTCATGTCGGACCGTTGTAGAAGACAGTTTATGGGGTCATGTCGGACCGTTGTAGAAGACAGTTTATGGGGTCATGTCGGAAGGACAAATGAGGTGCAACAGTTAAACTCCCAGCTGGCTCTGCTCCAACGCATGTATAAGGATGCGCGAGCAGAGATAAGTGTGCTAAAGACAGAAAACAAGGAGCTGAAGCGGAAGGCCACCGTGATGTTCCGATTTGGAGGGCCGCCATATGCTGCAGTGGAGGAGCAGGGTGGAGTGATCGTGCCCAGTGGAGTGGGAAACACGGAGGCAGCACCGTCAAGGGCCGCCCGGACGGAGGCAAAAAGAAAAGACCGGCGGCAGAGTAGAGAAGAAGTGAGGTCGATGTATGGCCGCTGCAGAAAAGAAAACAAAGCTTGTGTTGTTGTTTGTTTGTTTGTTTGTTTGTTTTTTTTTTTATTTTTTTATTTGTGTATAGAAATGTGATGGGGGTGAATTCCCTGTCATGAATAAAACGATGTGTGGTGTGTTTTGGTTTATGATTTGTGTTTTTTTTTTTTTTTTTTTTTTAAATAGATATGTGATAAAATAAATGAAATTATAAAATCAATGGGGAACAGGTTGGCAGAAGAAAAGTTTAAAAGAAATGATGGGAAATATTAAAAGAAATGTGGGAGAAATGATGAGTGTAATGTGATGATGATAAAAGAAAATAAAAATCAGGAAGAGACATGCCACGTGAGTTGAAGAATAAAAAATAAAAAAGGAAAAGGTTGAAAGATTAAAAAACCAGAGGTGCATGTGTGAGTGTGTGGGTCTCTTGTTTATTTATTTATTCTTCCAAAACTGAAGAGAGAGGGATATTGAGTGGGTGCATGATGATGATGTTGGGTCCATGGAGAGAGAAAGAGAGATTGCCCTCCTTGAGTTTGATCTAGCCAGATCCAGATCCAGAACAGGTACCGAAAGCTGAAGGAGAGAAGACGTGGTTGGTCTGACGGTAGCGGAGAACAGTGAGGGCGCCGCCGGGACAGTAGGGGACGGCCCAACCCAACAACTGGTGGGTCGCGAAGGAATTATGCCGAGGAAAGGAATGAGAAGCCTTTTCTTTACCACGAAGGCGTCACCATCGTCTTCAATTTCACACTACCCTTCCCCTAGACTCAGCTTTTTCCGAATCAGTCATGGACCGAACTCTCGCCGTCGCCGACTCCATGATCATGAAATGGAATCCGGATACTTCGACTTACGCAAAAGTCACATCTCTCTTCTACGAGAACCGGAGAGAAGCTGCAGAAGGCATCAAGTGCGTTAACAATTTGCAGAAATCTATGCACTTGTTGGTCATGGAGGACGCGAGTTCTGAAAAACTGGTACGCGGTCAGAACCTGATGGAGATTGCGATGAAGCGGCTTCAGAAGGAGTTTTATCAGATTCTGTCGATGAATCGAGCTCATTTGGATCCTGAATCTGTCTCGGCTAGATCATCGCTTGCCTCGACGAGATCTAGCGTGTCTGATTATGAGGATGATGATGCGCCTGAGGATGAGATTCGGATCGCAGCTAATGCTATTGAAGAAGGTGAGCATGAATCCACTGTTGCGATGACTGATCTGAGATCAATTGCGGAGTGTATGATATCATCTGGATATGGAAAAGAATGCGTGAAGATATATAAGATTATACGAAAACCGATAGTCGATGAAGGTATATATCGACTCGGAGTTGAGAAATTGAGCTCTTCGAAGATTCATAAGATGGATTGGGAGATGTTGGAGATGAAAATCAACAATTGGTTGAATGTATGTGTAGAGGTCCGGCGGGCGGCCAAGGCGAGGCTGCCGCCCGCCGGTGAAGCGGAATTACTAGTTTCTCAACCTTGCTCTGATACCATGTAAGATAAATTGATAGAGAGAGAGAAATTGATAGTATTATTGATTGATGTATTGATTGATTTATCTATTACAAATGGTGAGTGGCTCATTATATAGGAGAGGGTGAGTGTAGTAGGTGAGGAGTAGGTGAGGAGTAGGTGGTGGTAGGTGATGGTAAATTGGTGGTAGGTGATGGTAAATTTTAACATTATCAAGTTAATGTATCCACTCAAAAGAAAGTAAATAGACTATTGGCTCTTAAATTAGGATCTAATTCCTAAAGAATGGTTTCTTACTATTAGGGCTGTTCAAATAGCTGATTCACCTGAAAAAACCAACTTAGCTTGACTGAATTGAGTATAAAACAGATGGTTTCGAGATTGCAAAGGTTGGAATTGAGTTACAATTGGTAAAACCGTTCATATGTTGGTCGAGTCGCGGGCTTGGCTAAGAGTATTTTCATAGAACCTGAACCGTCCGACATTTATATGTGGTTATAATATTGCCATGTGTTGAGACATTTGGAAGGCCTAACCACATTTGGAGACATTTGATCAGCTTTGTTATTGTATTTCTCTTTCCAAGGCAATTTATCTTTTCAAGACTATAAGTCTAACCCTTTTCAACTCTCTTTGATTACATTTATCTCTATATTTATATCTGCATTTATCTTTTCAAGACTAAGCCTTTTCTCCTTCCTTCTAGATACTGCAATTCTTCTCTCTCTCTCTCTCTCTCTCTCACCTTCTCTTCTCTCTGCCATGGTTTCTCTCACCTTCCACTCACGATGACAACCTCCCATGCTCTCGCTCTCTCACTCTCTCGTCTCCCTCTTTCCTCTCAGTGACGATGGTGTAATTGGCAGTGCTCTTTCTCTCAGTGATGATGGTGTAATTGGCACTGACATGGTGCTCATATTTGTGAGACGGCAACGATGGTGTTCAGATATGAACAATGGAAACGATGGTGCGCCGATTTGAGCGACAATGACTCACTCTTTGACTCCACCTTCTGTTTCTATCTTTCACTCTCTCTCAGATCTATTTGTATGAATCTCTTAGATTGTTGTGTTGTGTATGTATCACCAATAGAATTGTCTGTCAATCCAAATTGTTCATTTCGGTCGATTTCGAATATGCTATCGGTTGGCAGCGGATGATAGCTTTGCCAACCCGTTACATTCGGTTCGGTGGGTGGTTTAGGGGTAAACCCGAGCCGAACTGACCCGTGAACACTCCTACTTACTATTTTTTTGAGCTCATGTATAGTACAATATTAAAAATTATAATTTTTTTTTCAACGGATCCTGGCCATACGTGTATTCTATTTTTTTTAGATTTTTTCGTATCACCATATCCATATTGTATTATATCTATATCCTGTGTCCGTATCCATATCCGTATCCATGCTTCATAGGTAGTTTCGCAATCAAGTAATGATATATGAGATGCTAGTGTTGATGGATGTAAATTGTAATATAGAGATAGTCATTTTGTGTTAAACCATGTGCTTTAATTTCCTCATGTGTTAAACCATGTGCTTTAATTTCCTCATGTGTCTAACCAAGTATTGTAGGAAAAGCAATAATTGTTTATTTATTTATAATTTTATCTGGGTAAGTTGTTTAGATTGTTATTGTAATTGAGGATGTACTTAGGGTTCTAATCTTATGTTTTGTTCATGGCTTTTCATGTATTTTCAATTGGTTTCTTAATAAATTTGATTACAATTATAGTACTCAGATAATCTTGTTTCCTTTTATGCTTTGTCCTTCTCTATTAGTTCCCATGCTAGGTTTCTGTTGATTTACTGTGTTTTTCTTGTAAAACCTACAGAGGCTATTACAGCTGTAGCCCCTCTACTTCCTTTTATCTTTGCATATCTGCCACTGTATGAAAAAAGAGGAGATAAGGGAGAAAAAAATCTTGGTTTTATAAGATTGAATGGATTACAACAAGTACAGTGTACATGCATTATATCAACCTACACTTTTCAGTTTCCAACCCTCACAACTGTTGCCAAATTTACTGTTTGTTTTTGTAGAGAAGTTGGATGCCTTATACTTTTTGTTTCCAAAGCTTAAACTTCATGAAATTTGAAACCAATAAGAATTGAATTTGAAGGCCTTGGCATCTGAACTGATGGAGCATGCCCATAATGCGTAAAGCCTCTGTTGTGAAGTTGACTTGATAGTTTTTTTGTTTTAATGAAATGAAAGAAGTCTCTCTTTGGGCACAGAAGGCTTGGATCACTGTCAGAGATTGTACAATCCTATTTGACCAAGACAACTAAAAGATCTGAATAAAAGTAAAATACATGTATCTTTGCTTATTTATACATATAAGATGTAAATAAAATATGCTTGGTTCAATAAATTGTAAAATGTTTTTGGTTAATACATACATATATACGTAGTCATGGGTAAACTCATATTTTTTTATTGGTATTCCTTATGATTTTTCATAACTAATACTAACAAATATTGATTTATCTACACTTTTTGCATATTTTCTGCAGCTTGGTTTTTGATTACCTGAAACAGCTGTTTGTCACATTATCTTGGTTCAAAATGGACTTACGGAATACATTTTAATTTTTGTCAGTATTCCCAAATGATCTTTTACTGGATTATGTATGCCGTGGTGGTGTTTATAGTTTCTGTACTTCTAGACCTTCTAATTCTATTGCCTACTTCTATGTGAATGTGATCATGGTTAACATATATCGAATAATTCTTGTGATGTTAAAAAATGATTGGCAATGAATTATTTGGTGCTGGCTGCTAATGTATATAATGTTTTTGTACTTATTCCTAAGCCTCCTAATAGGTTTCATTAATATGGAATTCTCTGGTGGTAACAATACCCCTTGTTTTTATAGAAATTTTGCTGGGCTGTTAATTGTCGGGGAATTATTTTGTTGTTTTAGGGCAGGATCTTAGGCACAAACAATTTCTGTAGTGGGGACAACACCCATTTTTGGGTAAGGCGTCTATCAAAAATCAAATCATCAAATTTATTGGGCTTTGCCTAAAGTATGGAAAATGCTAATCCTGTATATTAGTTTTAACCTCTGGCTTGATATACATTGATTCTGTACCTTTAAGGCCTGCTGAAGTGTCTATTCTGTTTTCTATATTTATTATGGTTAATCTACTCATTGTTTGGTTGAGATGAGAGTAGTGGCTGGATCTCATTGGAAACTCTCACAATTTTTGTGTGTGTTTTTTTGTCAGCCTCTTCCAACTGAAGAGGAGAAAGAACTGAAAGAAACACTACAGGATATAATTGGACAAGGGAAGAAGGTCAAGGTTGAGCAGAAGGTAGTGTTATTGCAAATTCTAAGTTCTGTGCTGATAGGCTGTCTTATATGATAAGTCTCTAATTTTACTGTGACTGTGCCAGATTGATCCTAGTATTCTTGGTGGACTAGTGGTGGAATTTTCGCAGAAAGTTTTTGACATGTCCATCAGGACTAGAGCAAGGCAGATGGAGAGATTCCTTCGGGACCCTGCCAATCTTGGGCCACTCTAAAAGGTGTTGCGCCATTTCCAATCACCTCGTTTTCTTGTCTTTTTCATCACCGACTGCAAAAATAATTACTTTTGTTGCTTTTGACTCAACCTTTAATGTGATCGTTGGTCCATCTTGTTGAAAATAAAAGCTACTTGTTCAACCTCACCTTTTTTTTCCATGGGTTCTATTGTACTTGATATTGAGATCATAATTTGATTTGCATATTTCAATACACACTCAGTTTGTCTCCACCAGAGGAAAGTTCTTACAAGAAAAGATGTGTAAACAAGGTGGAATGTCTAAATATTGGTTCGTTTTTCTGATCTTGGTTTTCTCTAGTAGCAAGTTTCTTGGTGCGGAATTGCAAGCTTAAGTGGTTTTTCATGACACAATGTTCATTGGAAGTGCTTTTCAATGATATGTGTAGCGTGAAAGTTTTCTTCTTTTTTTGTCCTTGCTGCTTGTTGCAAAGTCCTGTGTACGTTGCTAGTTGCAGATCTGTTATGCTGCATTGTGTTTTGAAATTCTTGGCATGATTTCTTGAACGTGCCTAGTAGAACTTTGTTGCTATACTAAATTAATTGATAGATAATGCTGATGGGATTTTCAATTATCTCTGGATAGTCCATTCGAATCTCTTCTTTGGACTTGGAAGAGTTGGAATGGGTTAGGCACGTATGTCTCACACATGGTAAATTATCGGAAATTTTGGAATGATTTTGAGCTTGTTTGGCAGAACTCTGTTAATGGAAGTCGTTAGCTAAGGATTTTGTAAAAAGGGCTACTATCGAAGGACTCTGAGAAGATGGATGTTTGGTTGAGTTTTCTTAATTTATTTTTTTGATTAAAAATTAGTTTGACAAAAATAAGAACGTAGTATAATTTTGAATTTTTAAAAATTATTTCTGCTCCAAAAAGAGAACCATATAAAAATGAGTATCTTTAATTTTTTCTAAACTAGTGTTTGAATAATTTAAAAGTGATATATTCTACTAACTCGACCAAGAAATTTCTCTCTCTAAACGTGCAAATCAAGAAGAAAAATGAAAAAAAGTTTGTGAAAAACATACGATTCTAGATGCCCAAAAGACGAGGAGGAAAATTAATGAATAAGAGGGGGAAAAAAAGGAAAAACTATTTGACTGTGAATTGGAGTTGTAAAATAGTTGTGATGTGAAGCTGTGAAATAAAGATGGGAAATACAACAATCATTCTATTTATTTATTTATTTATTTATAGGCAATGGAATGCAAATTTTACAATGTAGAATGCAAGTACAACAATTTTGTTGTACGGTGAATTATATTAAAGGTCTCTATAGTTTGGGATTTGTATTATTTTGATCCTTGACTTTTTAATTGTAATATATTTGATCTTAAATTTTGAATCTTGTTCCAAATAAGGAAAATTAAAGATACAATTGCTCAATTTTAAAGGCAAAGTTGTTAATTTGATAGAAATAAATGTTAAAAAAATATTTTTAAATTTTTAAAAATTATTTATACCTACCAAAAATAAAATTATATATAATTAATAAATCTTTTACACATTTATTTTATTAAATTAATTTTTATTATGTGTTTGGATGATGATTATGTAATGGGTGATCAGTATAATTCGTAAGTGACACGAATCTCAAACTATAAAGGCTGCTAGTATAATTCACAAGTGATATGAATCCCAAATAATAGCGACTGTTAGTATAATTCGTAATTGATACGAACTCCAAACTAGGACCAAGTTATATATCCTAAGTTATAATTATGATATTTGTAAGTTCTGATTATCACTTATTATGGTGTTAATTGTAAGTTAATTACAACCTGTTGTTATTTTAATTTGTAATCGAAATTATGTCCGTATGGTTAAGTGGTGTTTGATTATGACAGTAGTGTTTGGTTATCATTAAATCATGACACTTTATGGTATCAAGCTATGTGATATATACTTTTGTTATTATTATTATTATTATTATTTTGATAAAGAGATTTTAAAGATAATATTTATATGGTTATGAGACCCTCACTACATGGTTCCTATATTGTGTAAAACAATTATTTATTTATTAGATTTTTAACATTTTAAAAATAAAATTGATATAATTTTATTAATAAGTATAAATTACTGTCAAATAAAATAATAAAATAAACTAAAATATATAACAAAATATATTTGTATACCATTAGTAATATTAACGCATAAGTAGCCTAGTTCACATAGAAATACAGATGGGGCAAATGGAAGAAGACATATGCCAACTTCGCAAGCCATTCCTGGGATCATACTCAAGGGATGTCTATTTGCAAAACAATGACACATATCTAAAAGAAATTATTGAAAAATTACTCACAAAAATAAATTTATTAATCACATCTTTATTGGGAATGTTATTGACATGTTACTCACTTTAAATTTAATCTGTACACATCACTTTTAAATTAAGTTTAAAGATTTAAAAAAAAAAAAATTGTAAGACATAACTTTTTTATTTTCAGTAACAACACAATTTTATTAGCTCACATTTTTTCAATATACGCATTAAACAATTTTAAAATATGAAGTTTTGTTTAATCACAACTTATTATCTAAAAAATATCCTATTTTCCTCTACCTTCAAACCTTAACCTAATCTTGAAACCTTCAACCACTTTCAATCTCCTTTCTACCACTTTTGCTGCCGTCATCTCGTCACTCACCTTCTCTCGTCCACAGCCCCTTTACAGCCATAGTTGGCTGCCAATAGGGTTAGAAAGAGGGACAAAAAGAAAGAGATAGGGGCAAGACGGTGAAAGAGATTAGAGAGGTTTTGTAACCATATGATAGTGGTAATGGTCAGTGTTGTGTGGAGTTGTCTATTGAGAAATTACATTTTATGTTATGTTCGTTTATTGAAAAGAAGTGAATTGATCCTAACAAAATGTTGATTTTTATGTTTAGTTTACCAAAAAAATTATTGAAAATATATTTTCATTCTAATAAACCAAATACTATATTAAGATTTTGTCCAATTGTTAAGAAATATATTCGGAATTAAAAAATGCATGAAGTGTGTGAAATGAGTAATTTTTGTGTGTGAAAATATAAATTCATATTTATTGCATGGGAGCTTCTACTTACACTACAAAATTTCTTTCTTACACCCATTTTTTTTACACCCTATTCAAAAATTAGATTTTTATTTTAAAAAAAATTAGTGAAAAGTCCAATTTAAAAGGGTATATGGTATTAGATCCAAGGTAAAATCTTATTTGGTGATAAGGACATACCGGAAAAGTTGCCGGTGCTGGAAAATTTTTCCAATGTTGGAAAAGTCACCGCCGGTGGCGGTCGGCGACAACAAGTGGTTGTGGTGAAGTAAAAAAATGGGTGATATTCAGCGAATAGGGTGTTGAATGAGTGCCATCACATTTCAACAAATAAGTAGTTTGATGAATTTCAACAAATAGGAAAATAGGCTTGGTGAATTTCAACAGATGAACAAATTAGGTGATTTCAAGAGATAGACATATAAATTGATTTCAACAGATAGTTATAATTTTAGACAGATTGTGTTCTTTTGACCCAAAGAGATTAGTGTTTGGGCCTAATGGTCCAAAACATTAAGAAATTGACTTATGGCCTAATAGCCCTTTGAATCAAAAAAAAAAAAGTGCTCTTTATTTTATTTTTTTACATTCTTTATAATTTCAAAAATAACTTGGTCTCTAATTCATCTTATCTTTACACTCTTATTTTCTAAACTCTAACCTATATCCACCATCATCTTCAACCACTGCCACGACACCCCTCCAACCTTCTGATTGATGTGGAAGATGATCTTTTTGTGACATTTTTTTTTTCGCATTCAAGCTTTGTTCATGGTTGAAGCCAATCAAAATTGGTGAAATTAGTCATGTTCAACTTTAGTAATCTGAAACCGAAAATATTCTATTAACAAAGACTGAACAATCAAAGAAAACTAGAACCTAACAACTTTTCCACTTTATTTTTTTTTTCTAAATGAAACTATATCAAAGTATAGATAACCAAATCTAAATATAACTTAAACACCAAAATCTTGTATATAATTTATTTTAAATTGTCATGTATCTATGAGTTTTCTTTTTAATTCGAGTTCGAATCTATTTATGAGTCTTAACGAGTCAAAGAAATTATAAATTCATACTTATGTATGAGAGTAAAGTTACAATTGAAATTTTCATTATAAAATTATATATACAATATATATAAACATACTAAAAAAAGAGTTAATATCTTACCATAATAATAATATCTACCACTACTATTATATAAATATATTGTCTATAGTTAGCTATTATTTACATTTATATTATTTAAATATATAAATAACATATTTATACCATTTTTTATACATATTTTTACATTATGTAATATATAAATAATATATTTATTTTATTATTTAAATAAATATTATACAGGCAAGCTAACTAGCCGAATTAACAGGTCGAATTTTATTATGTCTGGGCTTGTTTATTAACATTTTAACGAGCTCGAGTTTGAGCTCAAACGTAATAAAAATTTAACGAACCGAGTTTGAACGAATTCTTAACTAGTTAGGCTCAAGTCTATTCACAAACCGTTGTATTAATTTGGAACTACATTAGAAGTTATAGAGACTGAAGAGTGTAAGAGAATGGGGACCATGGTTGGTGGAAGAGAAGCAATGATAATTGGGTGGTGGTGATTGGTGGAAGAAAAAGTAGTGTGCGATGGAAAGAAAGAGGGAAGAAAGGGAAAACGGTATAACGAGAATTTCTATTAACATTTTTTTTTATAAATGTTTTTAGCCTTAAAGAAAATTTTACAAAGAATAAAATGTAATAAAAAATATTAAAATGAAAGGTGTAGATTTGAGTTAGATTTGTCAGGGTAAAAAAAAGATGCTCCTTCATTTTAGTGGGAACACAACTAGAACTCATTGTTTTGACACAAATTTTGTTCATTTTAGTGTTTTTAGATAACGTTTCTATTTTTATTTATAAAAGAAAAGAAAATTGATTCTTAAATTAGACACAAAAAACTAAATATATATATATATATATTATTTTCAATATAAGTTTTTACTCTCCTTTTCTTTACTCACCACCTCCGGTCACAACTCATTGCCCACCATTTCTATCCACCACCTCCACCCATTGTGGTAGCTGGTCGGCCGGCGTTTAGGAATTTTTCAGCGAGCTCTTTGATTGTCTGGTCACCACTCATAACCTTTAACAACTCTCTAACCACTCTGATAGCTAGCCACCATCTTTGACCACCTTCCATCGTTTTCCACCACCTCCAACAACAACTATATATTATTTTGTTCATTTACTTTTGAACCCACTACAAGAAAAAGGACATACAGTGACGTTTTTCTCTATGACGTTTTTCAAAAACGTCGTGAAATCTGTCCAGAATTTTCAAATTCCAAAAAAATTAAACTAAACCATCTCTCGTTTTGTGCCCTGGTTATTTCTTTTAAACAGTGGCTCAACTCAAGGCTATGCAATTCTTCTATTCAGATTGAACAGAGGCGTGACTTCAAGAAGAGAGAGAAATTGAGGCATCGGATCTTCGAGGCGTGGGATCTTCGATCTCCATCAATTCTTTAGTTGTTTGATCTGAAAAATCTTGTTCTACTTGTGATTTGAGCGTATATCTCCGTGATTGTTCGAATCCCTATGATCTAAATCGATCTAGGGCTCAAGGTTAGGGTTTTCTGATATAGATTTGCTACATTCACACAAGATCTATAAAATTTCATGGCTAAAACTAACGATTTGGAATTGCTTTCTCTCGATTTAGTTGATTTCCAGGTTTTTTTTTTGCTTTTCTTGTGTTTTCTCCTTTCGTTTTTGTTCCTTTATTTCTAGTCCTTGTGTGGAAAACTCTTCTCTTTCATCAGATTGAGCAGTAGCAATGGTGAATCGATTTATCCAGGGTTTCGAGTGCAGTGTTAGTGTCTCTAATCATGTACGGGACAAGCAGGTGGCGTTGGATGTGGATCGTCGGTAACAATGAGTAGAAGCTCAACGGTGAAGAGATGCAGATTTTCTCTCTCTAAGATCAGATCTGTTCTCTCTCTCTCTCTCTCTCTCTCTCTCTCTCCGATCTGCTAACATGGTAATATCATATCTGCTTTGCCTGAATATGTCTGATATTGTTACATTATAATTTATAGGCATCTCATTGTTGTTGGTTCTTAAGAATCTGATTTCTTCGTGTTTTAGTTTTTGAGACCTCTATATTCTTTTGTCGATATGGATTTAATTTCTTCTCTTCTTCAGTCCTCACTTTCAACACCTTTCCAGTCGGTTTAACCTGCTCAGACAACAGGTTCTTTTGGGTTTGGCAACTTTGGTCAAACACAAGCAGGTACTTGGTATATTTAGTCTTTAACTACCTTTTCTGTAAATCTTCAATATTTTTATGGCTGATTTCCCCCTGCCCCCCTTTTTCTTTGGTGCCTTAATGTAGCTGGTACAAGTGGTTTTGGAGGCATGCCAAGCATTTTTGGTCAGAGTACTTTTGGACAATCTTACATTTTTCCTTTTTTTTTTTTTGTGGTCATGGACAATTCCTTTTTTTCATATGCGCACATGACCATCTCAATGACACAGGATGGCTTAGTTTTTTTATGTGCGCATTATGTTATAGTTTTATGAGTATTCAACATTATTTCCTTACTTGTCTTTTTGGCCTAGCCCTTGGGTTAGCACTTAAACTGTCATCATGTGAAATTTTGCTTAATTGTGCATCTATTTCTACTTTTAAGCCTTGTTTTGGTACTTTATGTGACTCTGGTTTGTTTGTAACAGGTCTGTTCCTCAGGGCTCTGCAGTTGCACAACCACTTCCTGTTGTAAATCCTTTTGGAACTTTACCTGCAATGCCTCAGATGTCAATTGGTCGTTCTAGGATTGCACCTTCTATTCAATATGGAATTTCTAGCCTGCCAGTAAGCATGACTTGTCCTGTCCAGCCAAAAAAAAAAAAAAAAAAAAAAAAGCCTAGAGGAACTAAAAACTATGAGTAGTTTTAATTTATAATTTATTTTGGTGGGACTCTGTTTCAATTTGATTATTAAATTGAAATTTCAATTTTCATTGTTACATTTTGTTTGTAATTGTAATTACCATGTCTGAACTTCTTTTCTGAAGAGCTAGTTATGAGATTTATCATGTGCATGTGGTGACATAGTTTTCGAAACAGGTTGTTGACAAACCTGCTCCGGTTAGAATATCATCTTTGTTGACTTCTCGCCACCTTTCTCAAAGGCGGATTAGGTTGCCTGCAAGGAAATATCATCCTAAAAATGATGGTCCAAAGGTGATGATGATTCCTCTGGTAAAACTTAGTATCTCATTTTAAAATAGAAATTATTACACTTCATTGCTTAATTTTGATATCCAGGTGCCATTTTTCACTGATGATGAAGAAACTTCGAGCACACCTAAGGTAGATGCTCTTTTCATTCCTAGGGAGAATCCTAGAGCTCTTGTTATTCGTCCCTTGGAACAGTGGCCTCCAAGAACAAATGTGGATAAATCATCTCCATTGAAGGACACATCTAGTCCAACACATGAGAATGGTAAATTTTTCTTGTATTTTAAATTTGGTGGGCCTGAATGCTCAATCTTTAGGTATGGGAACAATGGAAAATGTGTGAAATTCATTATTGGGGTTGGAACAAAGAATTATTTTGCTTGTATTAAACTAATGTTGTAGCTGGTATCTGTTTTGTCACCATAAATGGAATGTTATGGGGAGGGGAATACCAAAACTAACACAGGATGCTCAAGTAGAAAAGTGATGTGATTTTTTTTTTATTAAGAAAAGTGATGTAATTCATTTGATTTCAAAATGGCATATGGTGTCTTTCACATCACATGTGATTTGTACAACACATTATTTTGTCACACTGTTGGTGGTGTTATGCCAATCAGGTTGTGAGTAAAATTCTTAGATTCTAGAATGTCACAATTTTTAAGTAGCACACTTGGTTCCATTTAACCCAACAACACTCCCCAACCTTCTCTCTTTTTTATCACCTATGTTGTGTCATATCATGATGGAGTCAGCTAAGAGAGGGCTACATAGCACTACTTAAGTTATAGAACTATGAAATAGACACATGAGATAGCAACTTACCTTGTTCTTATTTCTGTGCAGCAAGTTTATAATCCGCATAGTGACTAGGTACCTTCCAAGTGTGGTATTGGTTTTATTTCTGTATACTGTTCCCCCAGCAATGTATTTGTTTTCAACAATTGAGGGGGCTATCTCTCGTAGTAGCGGGAAAAAGAGTGTATGCTGCAAAGTCCTGTACTTCTTAACCTGGAATGTTTTCTTTGTAAACATTCTATCGGGGAAAGTTATTGAGCGACTGAGTGTTGTTTCTAGTCCCAAAGATGTAACCGCCCAACTTGCCACAGCAGTACCAACACAGGTATTTCTTTCTTCTTCCTCTTCTTCTTCTCTTGCTTTGATTTTGTTGCAGTTTCCAAAGTAGGTGGTTATCCCCTTGGTTTATTGGAATATATAATAATTTTTCTTCTGTGACCCCTATTTTCTTTTGTCAAAATTTTGTATATTCCTGTGTTTCTTATTGATTTTTTATTTTCTGATGAACATACCAAGCAATTTTTGTGGACTCCGATTTCATTGTTTCCTAATTTATATATATATTGGGCAGTTTTTTTTTCTTAGTCGTCAATTATGGCTCTCCATGATAGGTTTATTAACGAATTTATGTAGTCATGCTCTCTGTTATTACTGTTGTTGCACATTTCTTCATATGAATAGTTTTCTACTCCCTTTAGTCCTTTAGTTTATATTTATATGTTTATATATTATATATTAACATGAAGCTTCATGAGTAATGTCTAACCTTGATTATGGTTTCCAATTTTTTGTAGGCAACATTCTTTATGACTTACGTTCTATCTTTAGGTTGGGCAAGTTTGTCATTTGAACTCCTGCAACCTTATGCTCTTCTTTGCAACTTATTCTACAAATTCATTCTTAGAAACAAGGAGGATCCATGCACTTTATCTTTTCCGTGCCATACGGAAATTCCAAGAGTTCTCTTGTTAGGGTTCCTTGGCTTCACCTATTCTATAATGGCACCTTTAATATTGCCCTTCTTGCTGGTTTACTTTTTTCTTGCTTATCTCATGTACCGTAATCAGGTGAGCATTTCTATATTATCAATTGGATTCGGTTCTACATATACTTCTTTCATTTCCCCCCTTGTTCATTGAAGTAACTAGTATTGAATTATTATTTCTGGATGTTTATGTTCTTTTGTTTGACTGAATTAGGTCATGATTTTTATCGTGTTCATGATGTATAGTTTGCTTATACTTTACTTGTATATCTGTTCTTTTTTTGGATGTTCTGCAATGTTGTCTGATTTTGCACTTTGAATTCTTACTTCAATTTTTTATTAATATTTATTTATTGTATTTTTTGTGAAAAATCTGTGAAACTGTATTTGTTGTATCCTTTATGATATTAGACATAAATTAGGAGTGCAGCTCCTTAGGTTCCATATTTCTGATGATGGTTGTGTGGCAGAGATGCATTATGAAGTGATTATTATTTATTTGGCAAGTAAGAAGCGAGATTTTTTGTTGCTCTTTGTATAAGTTTCAACGAAAATTAACTTTCATATGGAAGTATGTTTGTCACTTCTTTAGTTTTGTGTGCTAATGTAGGGGACCTAACAAAATTTAGCATTAGGAAATGGGGGTGCCGCACACATAGTTCTAACCGTTCTCCAGACCAACCTTCAGTCTGGCAGCTGAGTTTTGTTGAACAACTTAGAGAAAGTAGAGATTTCATACAAATAAGAGAGAAAGTACAGATTTCATACAAATAAGAGAGCATATTCTATCCAATAAAGCTTTATTTATTGCCATTTATTTGGAACTTGCAACATGAATGTTTTATGTATTCATCTTAATGTTACATATGTTATGAGAGGCTCACTATTTTTCCAAACGTTCCAAATAATTCTAGGTTTCTGAATCCTTTTCATTTCTTTCTTTCTTTTTTAATAAAAAAATTGTGTCCATTTTTTTGTGTTCCTCTGAAGAATTTATTTTCAATTTGTGATGCAAGCTGCAAATATACCTTTCAGATTCTCAATGTACTTGTCATTTTTCTCCCCTTTTTTTTGAATGTTATTTTGTCTGTCTAACTTGTGACCAGATCTATTAAAGTGCTGATGGAATCAAGTTGTGAAGAGGTATGCTGTCAATATAAGAGTTTTATGCCTTAAATTATAAATTTTATTATGACAATTAGTCCTTCTTGCTTTCTCATCTCTTTGTGCCTAAAGTTGAAACTGAATACTGTTCTCCAGGACACTGTGAGAGAGAGAGAGCTGATCTATAACTTAAAGTAGAAGAAAATCTTGGATTCTTTAACTCTATAATGGTTAAATTTCTGTTGATTTTTTTTTTTTTATATTTATTTTTTTGGAAGGGGGGGGGGGTGTTTGAATTTATATAACACTTGTTCATATACATTGTTTTTAAGTATCAAGTGGCTTTCACAAGTATGGTTTATTCTTATTCTCCTACACTGTGTTTGGAAAGTGTCTAAGAAAAAGAAACATAGTTGTGAGAATGTCCAACACACGTTAGCAAACATGGTACTTATTGCATCTTAGTTTATCTATGTAGTCCTCAATTTGCTAGATAATTATATACTAAATTTTCCTAGGTGGAAAACATACTCAATGCTATAAAGAACTAGATAAATTATGTGGGAACAATTAGTAGAGAAATTACTAGTAGTTTTAGATTTATGCAAATTATAGGGCAGTACCATAATATCTGAATGGCTGCTTTAAGATGGAAACTTCTTTGAAAAACTTGTGTGTAAGAAGAGTGCTCATATGGAAAAGTTATGTGGGTACAATTAGTTGAACCCAGGTGCTTCAATCTAAAAGCTTGAGAGGATTTCAATCTTGCAGAACTTTAAGGAAATGTTAAATTATGGTATTTGTATGGATATTATAATCAGCCTGAAGCTTAAGAGTGCTGAATTTGATGATATCTTTATCTACTAGTTTTTTTTTTTTTTTTTTTAAATATATCAGTTGGAGGATACATCCCTTCTTTGAAGATGTCTTTTCAGAATAATTATGAATCGGGAAGAAATATGTGAAGACAAAGAGCGTGAGAAACCAAGACAAGATTAATGGAAGCTTTAAGATTGGCTTCATTTGCACTTTAATAACTGTTGTGCCAAATTGCAATCTATATCAAGTTCATTTGTATTGGGTGTAAATTCTTCAATTTGTGTTTATTTTCATGAATCTGATTGCAGTTTATGTTCTGATGCAGGCATGTAGACTAGTGATGACTACAGCTTCTATGCTAAAACATGATTTTTGGATATATGTTAGTTTGTGGTTAATGTTAAAACATGATTTTTGGATTTTGGATATGTTATTTTGTGGGTAATGATGATTGGATATTAATTAAATGAGAAACTGAATTATGAATTAATGCTTCATTTGTTATTTGAATGTGAGTTATTATTTTATATCTTAGTTTTATTACAGGTATTTGAATGGGAGTTGGATATTAATTGAATGAGAAATTGAATTAATACTTCATTTGTTATTTCAATGGGAGTTATTATTTTATATGTTAGTTATTTTATATTTATTACAGGTATTTAAATGGGAGTTGGATATTAATTGAATAAGAAACTGAATTAATTCTTCATCTCTTATTTGAATAAGAGTTAATATTTTATATGTCAATATTATTACAGGTATTTTTTTAATTCAATCAATAAAATTAGCACAATTTCAAAAAAAAAAAGAAAAAAAGAGGGGATATGACGGCGTTTCCACAAACGCCTCCTAAACCCTAAATACTAATGGCCATATTTTTTAAAACAGATATGACGGTGTTTCGAAAACGTCGCTAAATATCGTTGGTGACGTCAGGGGGTATATTGTAGGACATTTGATGGCGTTTTTTAAAATGCCACCTATACTAATACCACGGCATTTTAAAACGTCACAAAGCTACAGCGACGGCCGCATCTTCGACGTTTGGTACTAAACGCCACAAAATGAATTAGCGGCGTTTTTGATAGTTATAGCGACATTTTTTAAACGCCACTAAAAGTCCAATTTCCAGCAGTGACCATTTCTGTACAAAAAATAAATTTATTAATAAAAAAAATTAAAATTTATTTATTAAATGAAAACATCATCAAACGACCCTATGTTAAACTAGTGGAAACACTGCTTGAAAATAATGATCTATTTCTGCTTTAATGAATTAGGGAGAAATTTTTATTAATCCATTTATGAGTGGTGAGCAAAAATATTTTCTCATTATTGTTTAGATGTAGTGATTTATTTATCTAGAAAAGTTTTGCATACACCTCTGGAAGCTTTGGACTAGTGGTTCCCACGACCTTTTGAAATTGAAAAAACTGAGTATAATTGATTTTAAAAATATTTGGTCCCTAAAACATAATTTTATCTCTAAATTTTTATCTCTAAAACCTTAATTTTTTGTAGTGATTTTACAATAAACTAAATATAAATTCCAAAAAAAATATTTAATAAAAAGTCAACTTGGGCAAGTGTCACGCCCACAATTTGCAGAGTCCAGCCCACGTAAATAAACCCAAAGCCGATAAGTAAAAAGACAACAATAAGATAAAATAAAATAATATCTCTCATGCAAATGGGTACAATAGTGTTACACAATACATGTTTTGTCCAGTTTCATACACCCTACATTCACATGTATGTGGAATGGATGACCTCTAACTAAAATATACAACAGATGATATATATCAAATTGAAATGCCCAAAGACTTACATCATTTACAAAGGGTGTAACGCTTATAAGAATGGCACGCGGCCTAATAAATAAGACAAATGGCCCAAGGCCTACAAATCATGAAACCACCTTACTCAACTCTGATCATAACTCTAATGTCGGTACACGCAACACACCTGAAAAATATTTTTAGCTACGTGGGTGAGCATAAGGCCTAGCAGAGAATATTTCAAAAACTAAATATGCTTTACTACCATAAATGATCATGATGTAGTTGTAGGCACCCTATTTTGATTGGCCTTAAGACTTTGGCACTTTCTTTTAATTACCCGATGATGAAATTAGAATGTGTTTCTTGCACAATCCTCAATAAGAAAAATGAAATTTGAGCTTTACTCTCCACCCTAAGCCTATTTTGGCCAAGTGTTTAGGTCCAGTCGGGTACCTGTAGTGAAACGGAGTCAAACCAGAGCGAAACAAACTTTTTCTCCTCTGGCCAGTCAACCAGCTTGTTAACCACTCCACAAACAGATTGCCCAGTTTTTTTGTGTTGGTTCGGGTGGGCACTTCCCAAATCCATTTTTCTGATCCATTATGCACCAAATGCTTGTATACCCATCCTCTATTGCCTTAATCTATTGAAGGTAATGCTCTACTTTTGTTTTCCATTAGCTCCATTAGTGCTCCATTTGCTCCATTATCTTCATTAATGCCCCATTTTTGTCTTTCACCATTTCTCCACTTATATTTCCTATATGTATACATCAGATTGTTGAGAGGAGTAGGAGGATAGATTGAGGAGAGAAGGCTAGAGATAGAGAAGAAGAGAGTTTAAGCTTTGAATTCAAGACTTAGCCAAAATTAAGTGTTAGTTGTGAACTTCCATTTTCTCAAGCTATACACCATACACCATATCTCATCTTCCCTTGTAAATACCACTCAAGAACCAAGTCCTAAAGCCTTGATCAAAGAGAAAGTAGTCTTGCTAAGTTGAAGAAGATTAAAGAGTGATCATACACTTGCTCCAAAACTATTGTTCTAGCACAAATTCTAAGCTCTTGAATTGAAGATTAAGAACATAATTCACAAACTTGAGGGTGATCAAGAGAAAGTTTGGAAATCAAGAAGTTCACTCTTTCTTTGGAAGGTGAATATCTTTGTTTTATTACTTTTGTTTCATATTGTTTTGTTGTAAAGTGATTAGGTTTCAATTCCTTCATTTTCTTGCACTTTCTATCTTATACTTGTTTTCTTACTTCAGTTTCATATTAGTTTTGTTGTAATCTAACTAGAAGTGGTTAGTTCAGCCATCTACATATTCTTTCTTTGTTCATTTTCTCAGTTTTGCAACAAGACAGGTTTTGCTAGGCCTAGTTGGCCAGTCGGCCAGCTAACTTCTTTTGGATAAAACGGAGTAGTTTTCCGGCGTTGAGCATACTAGTTTCCAGTAATCCTCAAGACACATGAAGCTTCTATTTTGTATTTGTTTATTTTTATTTTGAGTGTTTTGTGAGGTTTTTATTTTGTTGTAACATTTTCCTCATCGTTCTCTCATTTGGTTTGTAATTATTTATTCAAGTATCGTAATAATTCCCCACCATGCTTCTTCCTGTGCTGTTCTTTTACTTGCTTTCCTTATTTGTACATAAGCATCATATTTTGTTTTTCATTATATCTATGCTTTGCATCCATGTTTCATGCATATTGATTCGGCTAAGTTTGCATTTGTGAATTTAATCAATTCCTATGTGATTATGTGCGCTACCTTATGTTCTTGAGAAGATTTACATGTCATATATTAGAAGCTAAATCTTTAGTTGCATCTCATGAGTGAATTGCATTAGGATTTGTATATAAGATCATGCATATTTCGCTAACTTTGTTTTGTAGCTGTTCGTGTGATGTTGGTAAACATGCCAGTTTTTATGCTTCAGTATCCCGCTTGTGTGTGTGTGTGTTTTTTTTCTTAGTATGTTTAGTATTCTACCATGAGGCTATGTGCTTACTTGATATAACTGTATAAATGCCGGTGGATGGAGGTTGTGTCGCTTAATTTAGAATGATATTGATTTTGCATGTTTGTAAACTCAATTTTTTTGGGTTGTACATCTTCAAAACTCTTTCAAAGCATATGAAATCAAATTGTTCCAAAATGAATGACATAGACTATACTTGTATACTTCACATAATAATTTTTAGGATTTATTAAATAAATTGGAACATGAACATATAAAGTAAAGAAAAATCATATTATGGTTTAGTAGAGGCCGATCTTTGATCAGGTGAGCGAGGGTGCTCAATTAATGACCTTTCCCTCTCAACCTAAGGTTTCGAGCCAAGCATCTTTGGTTACGACAAATAGTGGCCTTGGCAAAAGTTACGGGTTTCCTAATTTTTCCAAAATATTAGGTGGCAACTCTAAGATTTGGAGATGTAGTCCATTTTTGGCAAAGATTTTGTATTAAAAATGATTTTTCATAAAAAGTTGCCAAATCTGGTCTCTTATCTATGTTTCACATTGCACTCGTGAAGCTAGATTAAAGAAGTCGAGAGTTTGAACTGCTTAACGTGCACAGGTACCCCTCGGCATATTACAGTTTTTGGCGACTCTACTGGGGACTTTATGAAACCTTTACTCGAATTCCATGATATGACTTTTATTTTCAGTTATATGTTTATTGCATTGCATGTATTGGTGAACTTAAAGTCCCTGTGTTGCCCATATAATTGTGGGAGCACAAGCAAGCTTTTTGTGACACTATACCTATCTCTATGTTACTTTTGAGGCGTTGTGTTATAACCTTTTGAGATCTGTCAAAAAGGTAGCTTTACTATTTAAGGTTCTCAGACTTCGAAGAGAGGCTATATTGACTTTTCTGATTTCCTGGGATCTTCATTGGCTATGACGCAAAGGACTCTTTGGTAAGTCACATTGATTTCAACCCCTAGAGTAGAGCCAACCTTGTACATATTGTGAGCTATAATACCTTCCAAAATTAAGACATGATGCTCTCCCATTTCTAGGATGTATAATGCCGCTTATTTGAATAGTGAAAACCTAGATAATTTCAAAGCTAAGACAGGGTAACCCTAGCCCCCATAAGGGTGTTTGTTCTCTTTCTAGCTATGTGTTATGTGCAATGTATGGAATCTATACAGGGCTTCTCAAATTTAGTGGTGCAGGCATTTAAGTTTGTGGGATTGAGTTCAGTTTTTTAGTGTGATTTAGCAGTAATCAGTTGTGCCGACATGCTGCTGAAATTTGATTGGGGGTTTCGTTTTATTTTTAAGAGGTAGTTGGGCACCATAGCTTCAAAACAGTAAAATATCCCCCAAGTTCTCTGGACTCGTGCTGGTAGACTCTGTAAGACTATAGATTTGGTTCAAGGATAGCCAGTGTTAGTTTCTTTGCCACCAATCACACGAAGTAGAAGAACAAAAGCCGTATCAACTATTCAGAGTACTCCTTCTTCACTAGCTAGATCATCTCTACTTAGTTCATTGGCATTAGTGATGGCTT